ACAAGGAAAATGAGTTCCAGGTCTCTTATAGACCCCGTGCATACCGGACTGTCTCCAATTTTGTTAATTACTACAATATTCATAAGACAATATCTGATTGAGGGGGCAGACGTGATATTTAGGTACATCCCATTTTGGAGGAAGAGGGGGAACTTTGGGCGATTCTGGTTTCTTATTAACCCTAGAATAGACTCACAGCGGAAGTGACCGTAAAAGACACAGACTAAGCAGAGAAGAATTCTTCAGGGGGCTCTTCTGACTGCCTTGCAGGCCTTTCCCACAGGTTTCTCCCTAGGCCTTGCCATCAGGGATGACCCGCGCAGTTTCGGTCTCCGGCACAGTTTGATCCTGAAGGTGGGCAACAATTAGTTCGCATTGTTTTGGCTTTGTGAATCCCGGCAGAACCCTGGGACGCAGGGTTCGGTGCTGTCTCTGTGGCTTCACGTCAAACTCCTGTCCTGCCTGCAATCGACTGTACCCGGCGGGAAGGTCAGGTTTCACTTGGTTTCCCTGGTCTTAGACTCTTACCCGGTCTTCCCCATGATCCCAGAATCATGCTTACTATTTGGACCGTGATTTCATTGTGCAGTTTATTTTCAAAGTTTCTTTCTTCCTTCCTTCCTTCCTCCCTCCCTCCCTTCCTTCCTTCTCTCTCTCCTTCAACATTTATTTATTTATTTATTTATTTTTAAGAAGGCTCTAAGCCCAACATGGGGCTCAAACTCACAACTCTGACACCAAGAGTTGCTCTTCCCACTGAGCTAGCCAAGCACCCCTACTTTTAAATGTCCTTTTTGGGGTTTTTCTTGCTTGTCATTGTTTTCTCCTTGGTGAGAGTAAATGCGTATTTCTGGAGACTGAAAGTAGCCGTACCATCTAGTGCATGGAATCACAGCCCTACTCTCTTCCCGGGATGGTGTTCATTATTCTGTGGATGTCTGGTTGTTCTCTCTGGAATCTTCCGGGATCCTTTTCTTTTTTGCCCTAAACTGTCACGAAAATGCATCTGACCCTCTTTTGCCACTCATAGTGCTGCATATTCCACAGACCCGTCCAATCTGAGGATTTCTGTCTTCCGTAGCCGTGAGAAATCTTCTATTATTTTATTGATATTTTCCTCTTTTTTCCCCTATAATCTTTTTATCTTTCATTGACTCTCTGTGTCTTTTACTTTTTATCTCTTTTTAATTTTTTTTTTTTTTTTTTTTTTTTTACAAATAGTTTATTGTCAAATTAGTTTCCCCCTATCTCTTTTTAAATTTTTATGAGAAGGGATTTTACTTTTGGGGAAGTGCTTCCAAATTATTCATGTAGTAAATTGTTATTTTAAAATAAATAATAAAATAATAAATAAAAAATAATAAAATTAAAAAAAATTTAAAAATGAAAACTATTTGATGTTCCTTCTTATTGTATTCTGTTTTTGTCTTATGGCTGCAATTTCTTCTTGAAGACTGATTAGATTTTTTTTAGAGTTCTCCTGTGACTTCTGAAATGTGTATGTTTCCCATGGACTGATATTCTCCATGTGTATTCTCTTTCAAGGTGCAGATCTGTCTGATGATTCTGGCTATACTTTCATGTTTATTTTTTTTTATTTTTTTATTTTTATTTTTATTTTTTTAATGTTTTATTTATTTCTGAGAGAGAGAGAGAGAGAGCGTGAGCGGGGGAGGGTCAGAGAGAGAGGGAGACACAGAATCTGAACAGGCTCCAGGCTCTGACTGAGCTGGCAGCACAGAGCCCGACATGGGGCTCGAACCCACAAACTGTGAGACCATGACCTGAGCTGAAGTCGGACGCCTAACCGACTGAGCCACCCAGGCGCCCCAATACCTTCATGTTTAAAGATGAAAGACCAGGTTGTTTAGAACTGTTGGAGACAATGACTCTGCTCTTTTGGGCTCTTTCAGGCCATTTTAGCTCTTCTGTCAGTCTCCCCGAGGAATGAGAAGTGTGCCTGGTAGCTCTGGGTCAGTGAGTAGGGCTCCTCAGCTGGAAGATTGTGCTTTTAGATGTAGTACTGGCAAGTTAGCCATTAGACTGGGCTCCCCCAACCCAAATGTTGAGTTGAGGACAGCTTTATTTTGGGACACCCACATCCACACTCTAGTCTTAGTCCCATTCAGAAGACCTGTGGTTTCCCCCCGTACACACACACATACGTGCACCTGCACACACACTCACACGCATGATGGGCATACAGAAGCTTTAGTGCCGCTGTCAGCCACCTCTTTGTTTTCTGTAATGTGAGCAAATGAACACCTGGCTCTAGCTAAAAATGCAACAGTTGTTTTAAAGGGCTGCATCATATTAGTGTAGAGCTTTTACATATTCACTTCTGAGGATTCATCTCATTAAGATATGGTCCCGGGACCCAAGCGGCTAATAGTCTAGCTTCTAATGTAAGATAAATGTGTAAACAAATCACTATAGTAAAGAGAGGTGAGTGCGATAGAAGGTGTTTGTACAAAATGCTGGCTGTACTGAGGAAGGGACATTCCGTGTGAACCAGGGATGGGGGCGGGGAGAGAGGGACAGCTGCAGGGGGCAGGAGACTCTAGAGCCGGGACGCTGAGATGTGCGTCCTGGTTCTCCTGGGGCAAGGACTTTGCCTGCTTCCTCCCTTGTCAAATAGACCTATGACCACAGCCTGACCTCACAGGGGTTTTGTGGGAATAGATGAATTACTTATATACAATGCTTCTACTCAGTACATATTAGGTCCTGTTATTATTGCTATTATTTCCTGATGTGGCCTTGATGGGTTCAATAGCCACCAAAAGGGCAGATGGTTATTGCTGGGAAGATCAGTGCAGTGAATAAGGGCATATTGGGTGTCCCTGGGGCTGGGGTGCAGGGCCCCGGGGTGAGTGCTTCACGGGAGACCTGGGCGTCCCTGGGGCTGGGGTGCAGGGCCCTGGGGTGAGTGCTTCACGGGAGACCTGGGCGTCCCTGGGGCTGGGGTGCAGGGCCCTGGGGTGACTGCTTCACCGGAGGCCCCAGCACCGGCCGAGGTGGTACACAGTGTCCTGGCATCAGTTCTTTGGCTTGGGGTTCTGTGCACATAGTAGGGCAGGGATCCCCTGCCTACATACACACACTCTAAAACTTGTAGGGACCCCATAGGTGGCCGGGACAAGATGGAACAATAAGAACATGCAGATGTGTCTCCATGCAGAAGACAACCTGGGAGGGGGACAGGATGGAAATAGTTGAATGACAATCGTCCTAGCCTGGGACTGGGCTGGGGTGGCCTAATGGGCCATTGTAAGAGGGGTTCGGCTTGTAGGTAACTGAATTCCAGAATTTGGTGTGATGTGTGGAAGGTTTAGAAAGGCAGATTTTGGAAAGAATGAGCATAGACTTACTAACCACACAGGACCACCATGGAGACACAGGGGTTGCCCTGTGAGGCCTCAGGGTCCGTCCCTGGAGCCCCTGCTCACTTGCTGGTGGGCCCCAATCCTGTAGGGCTTCGACCAACTCCATAGGCCTGGGCCAAGCCCTTCCTGTCTCTCTGCTTACAGAGGGAGGGAGGTCTGCCCAGCTCCCCTCCCCGGCAATGGCCATGCATTTATGCACTGCTGTGGAGACGTCCGGACTGGGGAGGAGAGGCTGGCTCCCTGCACTGGCCTCAGACTGAGGCTCTACGGCCATTCTGGCCACCATGCCACTGACAACTGCCCACTCCGGCTTTAAAAAGTACAGGAGCCGCTCCCCGTGAGGGAACATGGTCTACACTCTTTCCAAAATCAAACTGTGTTTCTTACTCCACTGCTTTCTGAAAATGCCATCCCTCCCAAGGGCATCATGAGGGTCTTCACAAGTATCTGCTCTCACAGAGCCTGGGCAGGACAGAAAAGGTGTGCATGTTGAACTGCTTTTCACACTCAGCTTCTCCTCTCTGTATCCTGGTTTCTTTTAGGTCTTTGGGGGCAGGGGGTGGTGGTGGTGAGGACAGAACTGCTATTTTCTGGCCACTATCATGCCTCTACCTGAAGGTTCCCAAGCCCTGCTAACATGATTTTTTTTCCTAGAGGCTTTTAAAACTCGAGTCATCTTCCAAGAGTCATCGGTATGATGCTTCAAATGATGTTGCCTTGAACAGGTTCTTGGGGCTTGTATGAGGCTTCAAAGAATAAAATTAAAACGCCGTTTTCACAGCAAGGCGAGAACCTGCGGAAACTGGAAAGATTTCCCCGATGTGGCTGGTGCTCTTTGCTGCGGGTGCCAGCTTGCCTTGCGTTTCCTGCTGGACTGTGCAGAACGGACAGCGCGCCCCAGGAATACTCACCGCTTCCTTTATTCTTCCATTTCACCAGGGGGGGTGTGAGCTTGTTCAGCCTCAGGATGGAAACTCAGGAGGAGTGACAGATGCACTGCAGATTGAGCTAGTTCACATATTTTATTTATCCAGTGAAGGAAAAGAGAGACAGAACTCGAGGGTGGCACAGATTCTGAGCGAATACCGCGGCCGTGCGTTCCTCAGTCCAGTTTCAATCCACAGCTTCAGTAAAAGTGCATAGGGGCGAGATGAGCATCTTGCCGGAGCATAAAACATCTTATTTGAGAAAGAAAACCCTTTTAAAAGTTAACACCGACTCACGGGTTTCTTATTTGAGGATGGCTTACTTTTGTCTTTATAAAAACACGACAGCGCTGTGTAAACTGCAGGGGCTGGATATTGACAGGTAAGTAAGTAGCTGCTCACTCGGAGATTTTTCTGGGAGTCCGGATCTGAAACAGTGCCACCAAGGAGAGAGCCATGGGGACATCGCAAACATGTCCTTGGAGAGGGACGAGGACACCACCGTCCAGGACCTCGGTCATACAGATGGGGAAATTGAGGCGGGAGGGCTAAATCCCCCTAAGGTCACACGCTATTTAGTGATAGCATCTCATTCCCTGGCTTGTGGACACTGCAAAGATATCCCTAACGTTAATTTCTGCCCTAAGATTCTAAAGTTGGCAATTTTAGCTTTCCAAGTGTGAAAAGATAAAAAAAAAAAAAAAAAAAATCTGGAGAAAACAACAAAAGATTTGTGGAGAACTCCAATACATTCACGTCCAATCTCAGTAACTTCATGTTAAGATATCCTAAAAAGACTAATGTTTGGGTCAAAATCAAGGAGCTCAATTTTTCTGTGAACACACACGACAATATCTTACGTGTAGTGAGACAGGAACGGAAGCAGCACCACACAGGAAAGATCAAGAAAACCAATATCAGAAAATAAAACAGCACGTCATCACTGGCCATCTGGTCTACCCGGCTCAGCGCCTTCCAGTAACATGGGAGACGTGCCTGGTGGGCACACAAAAACACCCTTTCAGGAGCTCGGTGCAAACACACAGGTCGCCGCACCACCTCACCGCCACCTGAGCCACCTACACTGAGCGCAGGTGAGCTCATGCCCCCACCGAGCCCCGCCCCGGGGGTGTGGGGCAAGTCAACGCCAAAGCCCCATCATCTCAAAGCCTGGCCCCCGCTCCACGTTAACACTGAGTAATCAGAGAGAGGGGAGCCCAGGGTGGGATGCACCTCAGGTCGCCGCTACAGGCTGCACATTCTGAACCCTGGACAAAGTGACCGGAATCTTGGTTTCCCCCGGGCCCGGAGCTCTCGTGATGGGCTGGGCGTGGGCCTTGATGTCTGCGATCCGCTCTTTAAACTTCTGCTGGAGAAACTTCTCTTCTTTGGAGTAGCTCTTCGCGAACACGGACATCAGCAGGCACCCTGCCATGGACGTGCCCCCCAGGCAGAAGAGAACGGCCCCCGCCAGCTTGCACGCGTCAAGAGCTCCGTTAAACTGGACGGCGTGGGTGTCGACCACCACAAAATCGGCCTCGCCGAAGGCTTCGATTTTGGGGGGCACGAGAAAGCCCGCTGCCAGGACAGTCAGTCCGAGGATCACGAAGACCGAGCCGGAAATGAGTCCGACCTGGAGAAAGACACAGCAAAGCAAGACAGGGTGAGCTCAGTGCTTGGGCTCTACTGAGCCCTTCCAAGGGAGGGCTGGGTTTTGGGGGGAAGTTGATATTCCCATTCACCCCAAATGTGTAGGAGAAGCCTACATCATTTGTAGGAGAAGCGTACATAATTTCCCAGTTATAAAAGAAGAGAGGACCTTTCTGATTTTAATGCCATCCGGAATCTGCAGCACTGCCTTGACTTTTTCCTCTGAGCTGTCTGTAGGATGCTTTGCAGCTGACAAAGCTGCCTTTGGTTTACATGGTCTCCTTCAGTCTGTGTTTGTCTGTTTGTTTTGAAATATTAAAACAAGTTTTTGATGTTTTATTTTTGGGAGAGAGAGACACACACGCAGTGCAACTAGGGGAGGGGCAGAGAGAGAGGGAGACACGGAATCCAAAGCAGACTCCAGGTTCTGAGCTGTCAGCGCAGAGCCCGACGCGGGGCTCCAACTCATGAACCTGAGATTATGACGTGAGCTGAAGGCAGTGCTCAACCAACTGAGCCACTCAGGTGCCCCTGAGCCTCTCTCATTTCTAGTATAAAACCAACTCTGTAATATCTAGCAAAGCTTTAAAGAAACATCTAAGACAGAAGCTGAAACTCTGACTTAGCTCAGGGGGCAAACCAGAGAGATCAAGACAGAGAGGAGGAGGGTCTTGAGAGAAAAGAGAGGGGCCGGAGTCCCTCTCACGTCCCCTGGCTGTGGGGGAGCAGTCTTACTCTGCATGTGCACACTGCTGCGGAGCACCCTTTGAGAGGTTTCTAATGTGGGTTGAGAAGGTGAGGATGAGTCTGAGGTGAGGAACGCATGAACAGGAGGGCGGGGGGAGGAGATGGCTCCCATTACTTTATACCTGCCTTACTCGGGTGGTTGGCTGCACGGTCAGGTGGCAGCAGCCTTAGTCAAGGTCAAGTGCAAGGTTAAGAAAGAAAAGTGCCACCACAGCCCAACAGATTTCTGGGCAGCACAGTGAGTGGCAAGGGGTGGGTGGGACCAGATCACAGGGACTTTTGCAAATGGCAGGAGTTGCAGGCACTGGGATAAACTGGCTGTGGCTGAGGCAACCATGTGGTCATCCAGAAAGCCTAGAATCATGAACTTGCCCCCTTGCTGTACTCAAGCTGGAAGGTTCTGGAGAAATTTCAATTATTTTTTTTTTAAGAGATTTTGATTTCAAAGCATTTGAAAGTCTTCTGTGATCTGGCCCTAATTATACATTTCCCCATTCATCTCTTGACCCCTCTCCTCTAACTTCTAAATGTTTGTCCGGGCACACTGAGCTGTCTTCAGTGTCCTGAACAAGCCATCATCTGTCATGTCTCGGCTTTTAGAATACATTTCCTGCGACCACGATGCCCAGGTTCCGCTTGTTCACGGGGGTCTCTCTGTGGAGCCCTTCTCTTCCAGGCAGCCCTTCTCCTTGGGGGTCCTCCCTTCCCCCAAGTGCCTGTGCTCCGGGTATGTACTGGGACTACTCTTAGGGCCGTGCTTATCATGTTGGGTTGTAACCTTGGACATGTCTACCTTCATTATTTGTGGACCCCTTCAGGTCAATGGTGTATCTAATTCACAAGTGAAGAGCAGGGTCTTACTCACAGATGAATCCCAGAGCCAACCACATAACCTTGTACACAGTGGACACACAAACATTTGTGGAAAAGGGAGGAAGGAAGGGAGGGAGGGAGGAAGGAAAGGAAGAAGGAAGGAAGGAAGGGAGGAAAGAATGGAGGAAAGGAGGGGGTAGGGAGAAAGGAAGGCAAAGAAGGAAGGAAGAAAGGAATGGAGGAATGGAGGGAGAGGGAGGAAGAGAGAAAGGAAGGGAAGAAGGAAGGAGAAAGAAGGAAGGAAAGAAGGAAGGAAGGAAAAGCAAGGAGAAGGAAAGGGAGGGAGGGAGGGAGGGAGGAACCAAGGAACCAAGGAGGACAGCACTGTGAGATACAGCTTGTACAGATCCCTGTGACGGGGCAAAGAGTCTAACTCAGGCCCCCGTGGCTCAGTCTCCATTCTCACGAAGCCCCTGCTGAGGCACAGCAGACCCAGCCTTAGCGGGAGACCGACATCGCCTTAAGCACCACTTTACTGGGACTGGGGAAACGGAAGCCCCTAACTTGAACCACCTACAGGTGCAGTCTGAAATGAAAGGAACCATGAAGAAGAATCGTAACGGAAACGTGCACAATTGATACAAAGCACTTCATACACCCGCTGGAATAAATTCACTTGTATTCCCCAGGAGGAAACGGAAGACCAGTTAGTTTATTCCCTTGGTAGAGGTGAGTCTCTAAGCCCACGAATTCAGTGAATTCTTAGGTGATTCAGGTTGACTACAAGTTTCTGAATGGCCAGTCTCGTGTCTTGTGATTAGGATCTGGGTCTAGGATTTGGATTTTGCTGGAATATCATCTCTAGGAGGCCATGGACTTTTGCCTGTTTTTAGTCTCTGAAGTAGGCCCAGCACTACAGGGAACAAATACGTGTGGATCTTGTTTGTAAACTAGAAGGGAGAAAGTACTAAAATCTGGATTCTGGGGCTGGTAACTTACTGCAGGTTCTTTATTTTAAATCCATACCTATATATTGTCTGACAGATTTACAGCTTCTTAAATCCCACTGCGAGTGCTTTGGAACCGTGTGAATGCTTTCAATATCCTGTATGACAGTGGCTTTTTATGCTCTTGGCACAACAGATCTGTCAGGCAAATATTTGTTTTTTTGACACATAGGAAAGCAACCACCCACTTAACTGGGTAAATACAAGATGTGCCAAGCTTGGCTATGTATTTCATCGGTCCCTGCCAGTAAGGATTCATCAGAGATGACATTTCTACAGGGCAAGGATGCAGGCTCGACCAATTTGAGTATAGACAACATGACAGTAGTGAGATATTAAAATAACACAGGTCTTGGGGAATCTGTACTAACAACTATGTTACCCAGTACTTTATTTATTAACTAGATTTCAAATTTTATTTCCACTTCAGGACCTAATGTTCCATATGACATCTGATAATAGTAGCTAATACACGAATGCTTGAGTGCATACCAGACATTGTGCTAAGCTCTTTGGTAAAGATTATCTTAATTACCTCTCACAACTTTACCTGGTAGCATCACCATTAGGGCCCAATAAGGTCCTAACTTGCCCAAAGTCATAGCCATTATGGAAGAGCGGAGGTTTGAACCCATGTTATCTGGGGACAGAGTCCATACTCATAATCATTATGTGATACTGCCTCTCATTAAGCTATCTTGCCAATACATTGTTAAGTTTATGACAATATCAATGTAAAACACTCTGGGATCTTTTGGGAGAAAGTTGAAAAGATCGGAATCCCAGAGCTGGAGGGGACCTGAAGCCCCGCCTAAGTTTGTGTCTTCTCAGCATCATTTCCCATATCCTTACCCTTGATTTCTAGGTGTTCAAACATCCCAATGTCCTCTTCTCTTCCGTGTCCATATTCTCTTCCTGGATCACCTTATCTAGTCTGGTGCCTCTTATATATTCTGCATGTCATGGACTCCCAAGCCATGAGCTGTGTTTAAATTGCTACTAGAGACCCCCACTCACATGTCTGACAGGCAGCTCTGACATATCATGGCCAAAGTCAAACGCTTGGTTCCTCACCACCCCCACTGCTCTCCCAGTGTTCCCCATCCCAGCAAGTTGTGACATCATTCTCTACATGGCCCAGGTTACACTCCTTGGAGTCATGTTGGACTCTTCTTCCTCTCCTCTACTTCATGAGCATGTCCTGACATCTTGGTCTTCAAACTTTGTGGTAATTTGGACTACTTCTCTCCATCTCTACTAACACCATCCAAGCCATCATCATCTCCTGCCTGGCTTCTTTCATAGTGTCCCAAATACCCTTGTCTTCCTATAATCTATTTTCCATACTGTGGTTAGAATGATCCTATTAAAATATTAGTCAGATCATGTCACTCCTCTGCCTAAAATGCTCAGGTGGGCTTCCCATCTCTCTCAAGGTAAAAGCGAGCATCTTCATTATCATCCACGAGGCTCTATATAAATCATCTGTGTCCTGTTATTTTTCTGGATCCTTCTTCCTTCTCTCAATCCACTCCATCCAGACTGTACCTCTTTGCTATTTTTCAAACACCAAATTTGTTCCCATTTCAGAGCTTTGGACTATCTTCCTGGCCCAGAAAGGCCTTCAGCCAAGTAATCTTATGATCTCATCCTATTTGCTCAAATGCCATCTCCTCTGAAGGGCTATCTAGGATCAGCGTACTAAGGTCCAGCCTCCATCGCTCCCTGCCCTCTTGTCCTGATTTATTTCTCTCTGCAGCAGCTGTTACTACGTGACATTCTATTATGTGGTTTATTTGTTTATGGTCTGTTTCCCACGATGGGCTGCAAAGTGCTGTCCCTTCTGTTCACCACGTTAACCTCTAGCACTTTGCAAATTCTTGGCACAGAGTAGGTGCTCACTAATTTTATGAGGAGTGACTGAACACATTGTCTGGTGGGGTGCCTTCATTCGAAGGTGCTGGGCTCTCAGAGCCCCATGAGCATGTGTCTGGTAGAGGCTGGGCTGGCATCCTGACCATCGTATCATGTTTCAGCTCTCTCTCGCAGTACCCAATGACTCCTTTTTCCTAATTGTTGTAATGTGTCAAATGATAATTACCGTCTATAAGGGGGGCTGGAAGTGTATAATGTTTTGCCTATGGACGGCTTCACAGTTGATGAATTTAGTAGCACATGAATAATAATAGCAGAAATAATGATGATGACAATGATGCCTATTTATGTTTAACCTGCAAATCAACAACCGTACTGCACTTCGGGGCTTTCTTCAGTGCAACGTTTATATTCTCCATCCCGAGGGGAAGAGAACTGCACTGCGTATCACCAGGAGTGATGCACACAGAGAAGACCAGACCCATCAGCTCTCCGTAGCTATGGGATTGGATGTGGTAATATCCAATACCTTTGCCATTTCTTGACTTACGCATATGCTCTTTCCTTACCTTCCAGAATACTGAGCTCCACCTATTAGGTGATCTCTGGATCTGGAAATCATCCTCATACTCCCAGATCGAGGTGGTACAGTCCTCATAAAACTGGTGTAGGTAGGACCGGACTCCGTAGCGCTGGTGCCCGCCCTCGGGAGCGGCCTGTACTTGTTTGGATCCGCAGATGTTGCTGCAAGAACTCATCCTTACGAGCTGGAATGACAACATCCACAGCCGTCAGCCCCATGAGCTCTGGCTTCAGGATTAAAAGGCATATTAAAAGTGCGAACCAGGCTGAGTAATGTTAGTCTATTTGAGAGTCTATTTGAGCTTTTCTTAAAAGCTGCTCTGCTTTTCTACTTAATGCAAAATTACCCCCAAACACTCAAGGACTAGAAACTGGTTCTCCATAAATGAAATGAGACATAATAGCACAGCTCGCTTAAATTATGCAAAAACTTAAGCATGAAGCACAATGAAAAATGGCAAGAAGCCGAGATTTCCATTGTCTTGACAAGAAATCTTTCATCTCTAAGAATCCAGTAGTGTTTACACTTGCACGTTACAGAACTAGGCAGGTACCCTCACTTGCTACAGATGGAATTTGTCTTGGGTTGTCCTTTTGGATGCTTAACCATGTTCCCTTGTGGAAAATACATAGTTTACTCTTAGCAGCTTGCAATTTTGCTTTCAGATCTCATGGACCGTGTTCCAACATTTTAGCTAATTGTCAAGTTGTACAGAAGCTGTAGCTGTGTACACTTCATGCTTTATTAATCACAAATGGCTCAGCCAATAATTTACATCTTACAGAACGCTAACACTAGACATTTAAGTTGTTATTTGTGGATACGTCTGTCCATGTGGGATGCTAGGGCATCAGGGAGAGGGTAGACCCAGCCTCTCACTAGGCGCATGAAGTGGCTAGTATATACAAGAAGCCAGGGGATTGTTAATGAAAGTACACACTAGGTGGGCTGTTTGGGGTGCTGTCTTCTCAAGATGGTAATTTCTGGGGTGCCTGGGTGGCTCAGTGGCTAAGCATCTGACTTTGGCTCAGGCCATGCTCTCACAGTTCGTGAGTTCAAGCCCCACGTTAGGCTTTGCGCTGATAGCACAGAGCCTGCTTAGGATTCACTGTCTCCCATTCTCTCTGCCCCTCCCGCCTCTCAAGAATAAATAAACATTTAAAAAAAGATGTTATTTATATTTGATTTGCCCTCATCAATACAGTTAGAAAACATTTGATTATTAATCATGAAAAAAAAAGGAATTGTTGAGGGACAGCAATTTTGGTGAGTGAGGCAATTCTCTTTTTGGTATTTGGTTTTCTTGTCTCTATATAGACAGATAAATATGTAGCTGGAAACGTGAAATACTTTTTTAGATTTTCCAGTTATCCTCCAGATGGCTTTCCCTGTGTGGACATAGTCAAGTCTCAAAATAACAAAGTGAGGAACGATGTAGAAGGGGTCTCTCAGAGCCTGCCTTGAGTCCAGGCTAACAGAAGACATATTAAATGTTTCCAGTTACTTCTCAAGAACCCACATAGTGATATTTTATCTACTGACAAGGAAAAAATTAATCTGAAGGTCTGGCAAGTGCCCCTGTGTGGCCACTTAGTTTGGTTGGATAGAATTATGGGGCCAAAATCAAAGTTGAAGCCAGCGATAGTTAGCATTTTCCTGTCCCCTGACCACAAAGCAAATCCATAAGATTATCTTATTAAGGGGTGCTCTTAGCCAAAAACAGGTCCTGGTTACAAAATGGAGTCAAATTAAGGTAGAAAATGGCCCTGATCTTAGAAAAATGATGCAGACAGATGCTACTGATGGTGACCTCATATTTTTTAAGTGTTGGTCACTACGTTTAGTGACTTTCTCCCTGTTTCAGATATGGCAGCCAGGAGAAATCACCCAGGAAGAGAGGGCAGGGGAGGTGATTTAAACATTTCTTTTTTAACTTTTAAACATTTCAGAAGATATTATTTCATAAAATATAAAGATTTTAGAATGTACTTTGCCAGACTAGAGCAGCAAAGCCTGATAGATCGAATTCTTTTGTCAACCTAGTTTTCATATTTTAAATGTTAGGATGATTGCTTCAGTACCTTTAACTTGATGGTTATACAATGAAGATGATTAATAAGGGCCTATTACTAATGATACATAAGCAGGATAATTTTAAAGCCACTTTCTTTTAAGACATTGTCATAAAATTTTGGTGAAGGGGAGATGGGAGTCGTATGTTACTAATTCTGCTTTGTCATTGAAGAAACTGAGGCACAGGAAAGTCATCTGCTAAAGGTCACAACATGAGTCAGGGAGCAGACGAAAGATGACAATACAGAAAGCTGGAGTTTGGACTGAATCATGTACTTGCATAATCAGACCAACTCATCCAAATAGTGTATTTTCAGGTTTCCTACAAAGCATCAGAGATGTTAACATGGAAAAAGGATGAAAATAAGACAAGAGCAAGAAGAAATCCGTCATAGCAACAGTACGAGTTATCTTCCCTTGATGCTAACTGAAGTCATTTGTTCCCTCAAGGTTGAGCTCTGATGCAGAGCAGGACTGTATGACATATTGTAGTCCCTCCTGCACAGCTGTTTCTGGTACACAAGGTCGAATGTTTCTGCTTTATAGGATAAGACTCAGTAATCCAACATTGTTAAACAAAATATGGGTAAAATCATAAAAAAGATACAAGGTGTCATAAAACAAATGTTGTTGGGGCCAGAGTGATGGAAGGCTCCCCTCTGAGTCGGAATGGATTTTCAGTGATGCTTGATACATCCCAGGACAGGATCCCAATGAGACTAATTTCTTCTCCAGTAAAACAAGCACAAGAACATGGCCTGTGCTGTGCTCACCACACAGGGCACAGGATGGGTTCTCATCCTCGTTCTTGATCTACAATGTATTGGTCATGACATGAGAGGCCAACTCATTAACCTCCCTGGGCTATGGTTTTACCCCCCTTAACATGAGATGGTTGAGCCAGATAACCTCTAATTCCTTCCAGATACACTTTTCCAGGAGTCTTTGGCCATGTATTTACAGAAGGAATCAATTATTTTTGTCAGATAGACAACTGAGTCTACTGTTTACCCACCTCCTCCCATACTCTCACTGACTGATAATCAGATTGTCCCAAATTCTTTACCATTATAGTATATATGAAGCTTCAGTTTAAAAGAGTGTATAAGCTACTAGCTAGGTTAGTGATTTGGTATTAAGTAGACTAAATGGCTGTGTATTTTTTTTTATCTGTTTAACAACTTACTTCAGTATTCGTGTATGTTGCCTAAATAGTACAGGTGTATCTCAGGTATGGCAGGTTTGGCTCCAGACCCCCAGAAAAAAAAAACAGATATCATATAAAACAAGTCAAATGAATGTTCTGGTTTCCCAGTGCCTATAGATGTTATTTTACGATGTCTATTAAGGGTGTGATAGCATCATGTCTAAAAGAAAATGTATATACCTTAAGTGAAAAAAAACCCACTTTATTGCCACAAAATGCTAACCATCATCTGAACTTGCAGCAAGCTGTGATGTTTTTGCTGGTGGGAAGGTCTCTGCCTCTGTGTTGGTGGCTGTTGACTGATGAGGGTGGTGGCTGCTTATAGGTGGGGATGGCGGTGGCAACTTCTTAAAATCACACAACAATGCAGTTTGCCACATCCACGGATTTCTTCTTTGAGTTGAACTCTAATGGCCACTAAATAGGTGTTGATTGGCCTAATTTCAATATTGATGTCTCCCAAGGAACATGGGGGCCGAAGGAGAGGGGGAGAGATGGAGGAATGGCTGGTTGGTAGAACAGTCAGAACACAGGACATTTATTGATTAATTTTGCTGCCTTATACGGGCATAGTTCCTGGTGCCCCACAACAGTTACAACAGTAACATCAAAGATCACTGATCACAGATCACCGTAACAAATATAGCAATAATGAAAAAGTTTGATTAAATCTTGCAAGAATTACCAAAATGTGACACAGAGACTGGAAGTGAACAAATGTGTTGGAAAAATGGCACCGACAGACTTGTTTGATGCAGCGTCGCCACAAACCTTCGATTTGTTAAAAACACATTGTCTGTGATGCATATTTAAGTGAAGCACCAATAAAATGAGGTGTGCCTGTCGTCCCTGGGGGTCTTAGAGGTTTCATACGTCTTTCCTAATATGTAACTTGTTGGATTCATTCTTAGAGGAGAATGATCACTAGAAAGAACAGGAGTTTTAAAGTATATCATGTTACAGTGAGGATTTTAGTACAAAAACCTAACAGAGTTACATTCCTCAGGAGGAAGCCAGTATCATTTTGTCCCAATAAAGAAAATGTTAAAGCTATTTATTTATTTAAAAGAATTTTTAAAACATTTATTTACTTTTGAGAGAGAGACAGGGACAGAGTGCAAGTGGAAGAGGGGCAGAGAGAGATGGGGAGACAGAATCTGAAGCAGGGTCCAGGCTCTGAGCTGACAGCTCAGAGCCCGACTTGGGGCTTAAACTCATGAACCATGAGATCATGACCTGAGCTGAAGTCAGACGCTTAACCAGCTGTGCCACCCAGGCGCCCCAATGTTATTGCTATTTAGACTCCACTTGGTTGATTGATACCTCGAGTATCAATATATGAAGGATATATGATGGATATAGATGTCACTTCATAAAGTCACTTTAAAAGCTGGGTAATTAGTATATAATAAACTAGGGCTGACAAGAAACGGATGGTAGGTACAAAGGCTTTTCAGCTTGGCTCAGCATTTACCTAGTGAGCAAAGTTTCATGGGAGCTCTGGGGTTTGTTTTTGGATAGCTACAGTAGCAGCTGCAAAAACAGTAATGTTATATCTATGACTGTCCTTGAGTGATGGATTCTTGAGGGCTCTCTTCTTCAGAGAAAGCCTTAATGTCCCCGGAAGTGCATAAACGGGGTGGCCAGTGAGTGGAACTCTTTTCCAGTGTTGTACTTAAATGAGTCCACGTGAGTATTCCTTTTATAAACACCCCAGGGAGCCTGTTGTGTCCCTGCTGCCAGCGTGGCCATCATGATGGGCCACAGGCAACCTCGGCATCTGGCTGTTCGGTCGTCTATGAAGAGGGAGTTACTTTCATTCTCCAGGAAGGACATCCTAGGTGTTAATAGGTGAGGATCCATCCATGGTTCCATGGTTTTCTTCTTCTTTTTTTTAATTTCTTTTTTAAAGGTTCATTTTTGAAAGTGTCAGAGTGCAAGTGAGGGAGGGGCAGAGAGAGAGACACACACAGGATCTGAAGCAGGATCCAGGCTCTGAGCTGCCAGCATAGAGCCCAACACGGGGCTCGAACCCACGAACCATGAGATCATGAACTGAGCTGAAGTCGGAAGCTTAACCGACTGAGCTCCCCAGGTGCCCCCTCAGTTTTCTTCTTTTTATAATCTGTCTGTGGTATCTATCTCAACTTTTTGCACAGTTATACATTTAAATGGATATTCAATTCTTAGCAGCACAGCACACCTGTCATGTCCCACAGACCCACAGGAAGAGAAAACCAGACCCTAACTCTCCTTCCAAACACTTCTGAGAGGCTTCCTAGAATTAGCACATTCAATGTCAGCTCTCTATTCTCTTGTCTAAATGTCTTTCTTTTCATAGTGCTTGCTACCATCTGATGCTCCATTATGCGGTCTATTTGTTTATGGACTGACGGACTATGTACTTGATAGACTATAAGCTTCATGAGGGTAGAGGATTTGCCTGTCCTGTTGACAAGCACTTTGAATGGAAGCTTCTCGGCACAAAGTTGTACATGGGTTGGTGCAGATGATGGCCTGAGTGGTCCTTTCGTTTTCATTCCTCCCTTCCTTCATTGTTTTCACTAATTATGTGCCAGATTACGGGACAGGGTAATAATATAAATGGGGCGGTCTGCTCTCGGCAGACACTTAGATTAGGAAAAATGCGCCTGAAGCAAGAAATGCAACCTAAGGGGGCACAAAACTGAGTATTTGTAGCAGGCGATTTCTCCGTGCAAATGCTGAGAACCCCTTGAACAATTCCTCTGTCAGCGAGGAAACCGGTATTTGTATTATGAGCTCTGTGTCTACCAATACATTACTGTACCAATTTGCTGGAAATTTGAATTTCATTCAAATAAATGCAATTACTTTTTATTTTATTTGGAAAGGGTTCATAGCCATGGAAATAGACATAAGTCTTTATGCCTCATGAAACTCCAAGAACACCACAGACTTTATCTTATTTGTCTTCATGGTCTCCTTGAAATAAGAGAGGCAGAAAATTGAGGCACAAAAGAGATTAGTGTTTTCCCAGGGCTCCACGTGTGAGTCAGTGGTGAGGCCAGGGGCAGGCCCTGTTCTATTTATTCTCTTTGAAATATCATTCCATTTTTCATACTGCTTTTCTCTCCCATAAAATCGTCCTGAGATAATGAGAGTGAAGTTGCCATTAGAGCCACTTTTCCACAGAGCCAAGGCTGCAAGATACAGGCACAGCACTGATTTTGACCATTTATCTGACGCCAAACCGAAAGGTCAGTTTGCTTAAAGGACTCAGTCAGCCTCAGTGTGGATGCAGGAAGGCATGAGGGCCTGCTAACAGGGTTTTCATTTTTAAATCAGACATTCTAGAATCGTATAGATGAGACCTTAACACTTGAAACTGTGTTTCTACCAACAGATCATTTCAGTATTTTATTTTCTTGGATCAGTGTTGGTAGGGATTGTGGCTTCATATGATGAGCTTTTTAATACCTTCTAAGTTAGTGGATATGTAGCACTTCAATAATTTTTTAAGAGGGGATAATGATATGCAATAATCTTATTACTTTACTTCTTCAAGATGTGTTTTTTTTCTAATTTTTTTAAATATTTATTTTTTGAGAGACAGAGAAAGACAGAGCATGTGCAGGGCAATGGCAGAGAAAGAGAGAGACACAGAATCCAAAGCAGGCTCCAGGCTCTGGGCTGTCAGCGCAGAGCCTGACACGGGGCTCGAACCCACAAACCGTGAGATCATGGCCTGAGCTGAAGCCGGACGCCCAACGGACTGAGCCACCCAGGCGCCCCAAGATTTCTTTTTAAGTAAGGTATACAACGTCAAAAACCAAATGGAGAAGAGTAAACCTATAATCTCATTAAATCTCTCCTTTATCTACATGCAAACCACAAGGTGCTTATGAATTTACATGGGGCAAGGTTTCAGTCTTACCTTTGAAGGTTTCCTCTTCCTCTTCTCCTTGTCAGTCTTTGGCCTTTCTTTTTTAACGGCACATCCTTCAAACCTATTTAAGGAAAAAAAATCTCTGCAGAATGTGACACAGATAAAAATCTAAATGTCATAAGCCATCTTAGGATCTGTAGAGAATCATTTTATTGTTGACAAACATATTGATAAAGGACTTCTTGTTGAAGAGCAGGGAGATATTTGGTTTTTTTTTTTTACAAAAATATTCATGTTCTATAACTTTTCAGTTGGCTCTCGTGAGACTTTATAGGGTAGATGAGACAACATAAACGAAAGGGCTTTGTAAACTATAACAGACTATACAAATGCTATTCTTATTTTGCTATAATTCTATTCCACTACTCAAAAATACCATGTAGACTAATCCATGTGTATTTTAATAATTCTAAATAAAAAGTTTATTTGCTCCCTAGATACTCTAGAACTGATTTGGTGCCTGTTCCATTATATTATAAAAATTAATCTTATAGCCATTGTATTTTCTGATCTGTTTACATGCATTTTAGACTTCTTAAGGTTTTTTAGATGAGATAGTCATTGGGTTGATTTTTACTCCTATATCCATTTTTTCCTATCAGGACCATTTTACTTTCCATGTGCCTAAGAAAAGCAGGTGCCTGTGCAAGATTTAATTAAAAAGCCATTGCCAGCTACAGAACTAGTGGCTTCCTACATTACTCTAATCACGTGAAATAAAATAATAGCCGGGTGATATTTTTCAAGAGGTCATTAAAAATTCTTTCTGAAGAACACTTCCCCATCCATTTGCACGAGAACCTCAAAGACTTGAGGGGAGCCAGCCTGGCTGAGGCCTGACAAACTGTGTTTAGTATTTCCCAGTTTCAGTTGATATGAACCATAGTCGAACCTTCTTCAAGACTCATTTCTTTGCTCTAAAATTTTATTTTGCAGGTGGTATGTGAGCAGATTCTGGTGGGGGGAAAAAGCAAATTTTATCAGAATCCTGGATCTGGATAAGCAAAAGAGAACAAGATCCCCCCTTCCCTCCACTCCCCGCCCCCCCCTCTCTTTTTTTCTCATCAGTGTCTGTCTCTCTCATTTAAATGTCCTTTCCTTTTATCTGTCGCCTTCCCCTTTTCTCGGAAGGAAAGGACTCTACATAAGCCCTTCACCAAAGGCTGGCCTGGTCTGGAGCCCAGAGATCTCTCCAACGTGCTGAAAACATTTCTGCTACAGAGCCAGGAACCAATAATTAAGTCAACACCAGCTGTTTAACTCTAGCTTTGTCTTCTTTGAGGTCACCAGCTTTGGTCTGACCTTCCCCCCTCAACCCACTTCTAGCAACACAAAGAGGTAGTAGGTCCTGAGATTATATCAAAGCACGCAGATATCTTTGAATATGGCAAGAGAATGGGGAGGGCAAGTGAGGGTTAAATTCAGCTCGGAAAACAAATCAAACCGGCTTTGCAAACTCCAAATACGTGCATTTCACTCTTACCTAATATATAACTTTTCTCGTCTCCCGGGAGAGCAACTCCTTAAGTTTTCCCTGTATACGTCCCCAGCTCTTACGTAACACAAACCACAAACCACCAAAGCAAGGAGTTGGCTACCCCTAATCTGTATGTGTGCACGGATTTTAAGATGCATGCTTTTACAGAGATGTGTGCACATATAATAAACGCGAATGAGTAAGGAGTGCGTGTGACAGACACAGGAAGAACACGATGTTTGTGCGGGAGGAGAGAGGAAGGAGAGAGAGAAAGGGAGGGGTGGGAGAGCTGGGGAACGCCACACGGAGCGCAGAAGCCCGCCCCGGGGGTCCGCAAGGCTTTACCTGCCCCTCCGATCCCCTGACCCGTGGAGCAAGTGCAGCCAGCTAGCCGCAGATCTCTCGCTGGGGTCCCATCGCCGCCGCCGCCGCCGCCGCCGCCGCCGCAGCGCCCGCCTGGCGGAGCTCAGCCCGCGGGTGATTGACAGCTGGGCGGCCCGCGCGCCCGAGGCCCGCGCAGCTGCGGCGGCCGCCGGAAGGGCCACGTGCGTCCGCGGGGCGCGCTCGGGCGGCGCGTGGGCGGGGCCCCGCAGGGCGCGTGCGCGGACTGGCGGTCTCCCGGCCGCGCGTCCCCGGGGAGCGTGGCGGCGCCCGCAGCGCGCTCTGCCTTCCTGCGCTCCCGGTGCGCGCCCCCGCCCGGCACAGCGCCTGCCCGCGGCAGGTGCCGCGACCGCTTACTTTTTAAGTGAACGTGTGCGTCTTGCGCCACCGCCCCATTTGGGATTCATTTGGGGTGCGCAGAGGCTTCTCCAGACGCTGGACTTTCGTGCTTGATGAGACGCGAGGCGAGGAGCCCCGCTGGAAGAACCTTTTGGCCGTGTCCACACCGGCCACAGTCCGCCCCTCACCTGGGCCCCTGACCCCAACTTCAGGGGCGAGGTAGAGGAATTGTCAAGAGAGTGAATTCAGGGATGCTGTGCAAGGACCCCCCCCCCCCCCCCGGTGCGTGAAGGAAGAGCACACTAGAAATTACCTGTGAATAGCTCGGAAACCGTGTGTAGGTGTGGGCAGGTTGGCATGTAAACAATGACCCCTGCTTCTGGAGACTGCAGACCCCTGGTAAGTGGCATTTAATGAAAATGATTGCTAAAATAGTTAATATTTGCACAGCCATTCTGCACACACAGTAACAACAGGTGACATTTACATAGTGCCTACTGTGTGCCAGGCAGGCATTGCTATAGACACATTACGTATATATTAATTCTATGCGTATCAGGTCATTAAGTTGTCACGTCAACTCTACGTGTGTGTCTGGGGGGGTATTCTTTATTATCCCATTTTTCAGAAGAGGAAGCCAAGGTTTAGAGAGAAGCGACTTGTACCCATGATGACACAGACTCACAATTACTTGGCACAGGTCGCACAACTACCAAGTGGAAGAGGAGGACTGGGATCCATAGATGTATCTCCTAGAGAGGATTTAGGATATACGTGACATGGTGTCTGAAAAACACAGAAGCAACTCTGTTTTCATGAAACAGTAGACAGACCAAAGCAAAGGCTGAGCAAATGCTCGGAAGCAAAGCAACCACAGAGATGGCTTTGTTTCCTCCGTTCTTCTGGTTCTCAACTCTTGCCCCAGGTTTCAACATGACTTCTCAGCCCTCTTCACACCTGCAGGTACACTTCCTTCTCCCTTCCCAGGCTTCAAAAAGGACATCTTTCAGGACTTTCGACAGGTTGCTTATTAGCTTGCTTTTCTCAGATTCAGTGAGTAGATTTGGCGAACATTAGTTTATTCTTAGATTGGGACATGGCTCCTGGGTTTCCCTTCCTTAAAGTCCGTGAGAATCAGCACACGTACAAAATCCAGGGGCTCCGTGACACGTCTGTCAGAGCTTAGGCTTTGGAAGGGCACAACTGGCTTCCAGCTGTCCCCAGTGTTGGTTTCTCCTAAGTGTCCTGGCTTCTTCTCACGATGCGTGAAGACTGTATCATCCATTAGACATTCAGAGAGCTCAGAATTGGACCGACCTGGGTTTTAATCCTGGCACTGCCAACGCCTGATATTCAAGCTGGTCCTGTGGCTTCAAAACCGTATACCTCATTTTCCTCAGCTCCAAAATGATCATAGGAATATCTACTTCATAAGGTATTTGGAAGAATTAAGTGAAATTCTGTTTATAAAGCATTTATCATGATGCCTGGTACGTAGTAACTATTCAGTAAATTATAGCTCTGATGATGATGACGATGATGATGATTTAGCTGAACATTTTGGGGGCTTATGAATATTTTCAGCTGGAAGTCTCAAGTCTTCTCAATTTCCCAAGCATTCTATCTCCTCTGTTACCAGATCTGTTTCCAACCAATGCTATCTCTGGCCTCTCTGTGGACATCTCTGATAAAGTGGCACAGGGGTGGGTATGCCTATTCAGGAGCCCCGGGGGTAACACAGGTCTTCTGAATTCCACCTCTAGCACATCTGCTTTTGGTTCCTTCTCAGTCTGAAGTACCTTGAGATAAAGTAAGATGCTTTACACGTCCCAAGATGCCCTTAAAATGTGAATTATCATAATTATCTTGCCTTTCTCAAGTCCATAGTTTTTATTTATTAGTTTTGCAAACATTTGGGAACAAAGATGATCATTTAGAAGCAACTAAATTTTCACTTAAAACATGCTACACGATTTCCCTGGGTTATATTACATAAAAACATTTACCAGTGAACGTCTTAATTCATTATTCAACACATATTTGTGGAATGGCTGCCGTTCAGAGCACGAAGGGTGAGATGAAGGCAGAAGCATTATGGAAAGTCACAGAGAAAAGGGGTCAGGAGAGGTTGTAGATGTTTTCCAGAAGGGATGTTATGATCAGGTCTTACCCTGTCTTTGTGGATACTTCATGATTCCCTTCTAAGTTCATTTCTCGCCACACTGAATGTATTCGGTGTTCTGTAAATGCAGAGCACACATTCCTCCTTCCATCTATTTCCTTTGGTGCTTCTTTGTACGGTTTCCCCCATATCTGTGTCTCCAAGTGCCGCTCATTCTTCAAGTCCAAATGTGACCACCGCCTCTTCAATCAAGCCGCCTTTGCTATGCTTGAATAGGAGTCATTCTGTATTTTGAACCCATACAGCATCTCATCTTACCTGTCTTATGGTAACACCACTTTTTTTTTTTTTTGCTTGGTATTGGCATTATTTACCTATTTAATTGCCCTCCAGGCTTGTAAATATCATAAGGGATCTACCTGCAATTCACTTTGAATTCTACACAGTGCCTAGTATATCAGTTTATATAAAGTAAGTATTCATTTTTTGTAAATGCACAAGTGGGTGAATGAATGATGTGGATCTGGAGATGAGATGCAGATAATAGGAGAGCAGGGGTATTGTGGTAGGCTGGGGAATGAAAAGCACAAGACTCAGCTTGCAGTCTTAGTTCCCAGATTTGCCCCTGGGATCCCCAGATCTGCAAGGGGGGAGGGGACAGCGATGGAGGAGAGGCTCTGTATAGTTTGTTCACTCACCGGTGGGAGGCAGAGCCTTGAGCCGCAGGACACCGGTGGTGGCCTCCATTGCCTGGGAAGAGTGCCGCCTGTCCAAGCTGAGTCCAGAGCGTTCCATACCAGGCAGTAGCTTGTGATTAGTATGCTGTCTGTGTTCCCGGACAGAACAGATGTCTGTCTGCTATTTTCTGTTTAATGATGATGGCAAGTTCCCAATGATCAAGATCCAGTTTCACATTGTCTGAAATGCTGTGGCTGAGAAATCCTATTTAGCCCAATTCTGAGGCCCAGCCTCCTTCTTTGCAGGAATCTTTACAGATTCATATGGACTGAGGGCCCAGTGGCAGGGTGGCCTCACTTAGCCTTGCTCAGATGGAGAGGGTGGTTGAAGGGTGTTCTAGGCATGGGCTGTACCTAAGGATGTTGGCTTTTCTGTATTCCTTTTCTCCCAGCAAGAGGTAACAGTAAGACTTTTGCAGATCTTGTAAACCAATTGGTACAAGAGGATTCTTGGCATTTGGAATAGTTTCTTTTTATAAGTTTATCTTTGGAAGGGGAAATATATTAGCTGCTACTTTAGTGATTAGTGAAAAAGTCAATTAGATCCTTTCCTGTACAGATTGAGTTTAGGGGTCCAGGGGCAATACAGATTCAGAGCCTGAAAAGCTGCCCCAAGATCTCAGAGCAATATATGAACATAATGTTTTTTCTTCTTCTGTGTTCCATCCCCAGAGCTTTATTGAGATCCAGTTGACCTCAACATTGTTTTTAGATGTACAACGTGTTAATTTATACACTTACATGTTGCCAAATAATTACCACAAGAGCATTAGCTAATATTTCTATCATTGCCCATAATTACCTTTTCTTTTCCAGGTGAGAACATTTAAAATCTATTCTCTTAGCACCTTTTCGTATACATAAACAATATAATACAGTGTTATTAGCTATAAACATCGTGCTGCACATCAGATCCCAGAAGTTCCTCATCTTATCACTGGAAGTTTTGAACCTTTTACCAGTATTTCCCTATTTCCTCCACTCACCAGCCCCTTGTGCTAGGTTTTATTGAGATTCACAAATACATAGATTCTGTCCCCCAGAGCTTCCTAATCGAATCTGGCCCTCGAAATAAGTCATGCCCGTGAATAATTATGATACAAGGATCCTAGGAGAGAGACCGATAAGCTGCTGTGGGAGTTGAAAGAGCTGAGAAATTACTTCTGATGTGGGGATAAATGAGGTAAATCTTAGACGGCTGTGAAAAAAGTGAGTCCAATGACCTGGATCTTGAAATACAAGTGAGACTTTTAAACTTGTGACTATAGGGAGGAAATTCAGAGATGGGACTGGAAAAACACCCAGCGAGGACCCCCTTGTGGGTCTAGAAATCAACAATATTTTACTTCATTTTCCAAATTTTTACTTTTTTCGTTCTGTATATCCCCTCCCTCCTCCAGTTACATTGGAAGCTTCTGAAGTGTTTGTAACTCTTAGTCCTGGCACGTGTTGACACACTTACAAATGCTTGGTGGCCATGGTGGTCACGGCCTTCTGAAGTTTTACGTTCTTCCTAAAAGTGGAAAAAGATGTGTCAGGACTTAATCTTGCGTCATGGCTAATATTTGGAGGGAGAATCTTCTGAATCATTTTTCTTTTTTGAGAGAGAGAAAGAGACAGAATGAGAGAGAGAGACAGAGAGAGACAGAGACAGAGAAAGAGTCAGGGATTCAGGGAGGGACAGAGGGAGAGGGAGAGAGAATCCCAAGCAAGTTCCAGTCTCCATGCAGAGCCCACGGGGCTCTATCCCATGGCTGTGAGATCATGACCTGAGCCGAGATCAAGAGTTCAAAACTCAGATGCTTAACTGACTGAGCCACCCAGGTGCCCTGCAGGGAGACTCTTTTATAGCCAATTGGTATGATGTGAGAA